CTGTCCCTGTCCCTGTCCTTCTGGTCCAACATTATACAGGAAAAGTCATGTCATAATTAGGAATGGTAATTAAGCACAATGAATTAATTAATCCACCTTGTGATTAGTTTGAATGTATTAACTATTTGACAGGCCTATGATTCTACTGTTGGTCATCATGGTGGTGCTCGGAGAGCTCCATGTTTTCTCAGGTGGTTCAGAGTATAAAAAGTTTGAGAACCACTCATTTACACGATATGATTTTAAACCTGTTCCACTACTGTCTGGAGAAACCACTGGGTTCTAAAGTACAGTGAGGAACCCTCTGCTGAATGTGCTGCTGATATGATCAGCTCATACTCTGCTGGTCTACGTGGCTCTAAAAGAATGACGGGGGCTTTTTTTTCCTGTAAAACTGAGGAACTGCACCCAGAACTGCTCAGACGACAGAAAAGCGTTTCCCTTCAAAAAGTACTTGTTTATCAAGAAAGACAAACATCCAACATGGTTTTAGTCGAATGTGGGCAGAGAAAACCAGGAGGGATCTGTTTCCTGGAGACTTTATCTTTGTACAGGAAACTCCACTCCCCTGTGTTCCAGGGGAACTTGAGAGGTGTGGTCAGCACACACACACACACACACACAGACCCCGGCTTAACGATGTCTTACACAACTCTACTCCACCCAGCCCCCCACCCTTTTCTAACCCAAACCACACCAAATGCGCATACGACCCCACCCCGTTCCCTGACCTCCCTCTGAGTCCTGCAGCCACATGTGATCACACAGTGTGACATCATCGCCGCCTTCCTCTGAGAAACCGGAGATGTTTTACTCAATCAGAAATTTGATTTTTCTAACAGCAGGTGGAAAAGTTGGGCCTCACGTCCCGCTGTTCTGTCCTTCACCTCCGCGTTCCACTCTCTGCCTGTGCCTCGTTTTCATCCTTTGGTTCAAAATATTACATCTATATGTGGTTACGCTAACCTTATCTCCGAAGAATCTTCAAGAATCTCGGGGTTTCTTGCTCACAAGGTCCATCGGTGATTCAACTACGGTGAGAGTCCAGCGATATATCAAATTTGTCTCGAGACAATTTTGTGCTCGAGAGAATTTTGTGTCACGTGAAAAGTATCACCTTTACCTCGGACTTCACCCCAAAACCTCATCGACACCATCGACGCTCCGTTCCTGTTCTAACCAACGCCTACTCTTCGTCTCGTAGGTCCCTTAAAAATATACTTTCAAGTGTTTTTTTTTGTACCAGAGTATCACAAAGACCACATCAATCACCATTCATGTCAAACTAACAGGATAATAACACACCGGTCACCGTTGCCATGCCTTCACTGGAGGTCCAGCTTACAGTATGCTGCTGAGTCTTTTTTTTTTCCCTCCACACACATTACAAACAGGACCGCATCAGTCAGCCTGACAGGTCACTAGTGAACCACAAACAAGCATTTGTCACCATGACTGACATCACCCTGAGAGCCATTTTTAATGACTTCCTGGGAACACCGCTCTGGCAGAGGAATATTAGACCTGAGGTTTTCACAGAAGAATTTCTGAAGAATTCTACCTTCAATGGCTCTGCTGTTCTGTTTGGAATGTTGAAATTCTACTGCACTCCCTTATCTTAATTTGGGTGCTGTGTTATGCAGATGACTAGCTAATTTATTCATCTTATTGTGTTCTCCAAGTCTTTTCATCTTTAATTACTTTTAATGAGCAAATCCAAAATTTGTATTTCTTTAAACTGACAATTAATTTATTTTTATTAGTTACAGTAGAAGTATGACGAAATAGATTTTGGATTTTAAGGATGAAGAAAATAATTTGACCTAAGCTTAAATAATTTTAGCCTTAAAGTTCCTTGTCACGTTAAGATAGTATTATTTATCATATCGCAATGATATTTTAGAGATTTTTTTTTAAATCTGTTAATTTTGAAAAAATAAAAAATGTACATGAAGTCTAAACATAGAGCTTGACTCTTCACACACACATTTATTTTTTCAATTATTTCATACAAGATTTAAACTATTGTTTTTATCATCATTTAGTGTTGTGTCTCTAAGAGAGAATTCAGACGTACTACAATGTTATAAAGGTGGGGGGGCAGGGGGTGGTGGGGGGGATCACATTGAACGCACCACCCAGAGGACAAAAATGGTCGACCGTCCTAATCCTGAAGTGCAGCTCATCCTTATCAGAGCGTCCACACCCTCTCCACCTTCCTGCCTATCTCCCCAGCCTCCATCTGCAATCTGTCACTGTGTCTCCTCCTCATCATCATTGTCGTCTCCACCTAAGCCTCCTCTCTCCTTACACTTCCTCCAGCTCCCTCCCTCCGTCCCTCACCCATCCTCCAACCACACGGCACAGCTAACAACACCCTTCCCCTCCACAGCGTTGGCCTGGTTAATGGTTTCTATACGGTGTGACAGGCTTTACCTTATCATTACCGCTCACACCCTTTGATTTTTTTTTCCTTCTGTCACCACTAATACCAGGCTGCAGGGTTTAACTCTGAAGATGAAAACAGTAAAAGTGCAGCATCAATAACAATAAAACACACATTTGAAGATAAAAATGCCTATTGATTATAGGACATGATGAATTTTAGGTGGAACTACAGCAGCTCTGTGATTGGTCAGTTACCTTCTGTTGCAGAAATTGAGTTCCAGGAAAAAGGGGACACTAGTTACAGGTCCACACACAACACCCAGAACTAGAGACAACTAGATACTATAGTAACTATGGTATACCAGACTAGCTGTGTACCACGGCGTCTCCGCGTGGTACCCTGCTACGTTGTGTTTACGTTTGAACTCAGTGTCTGTTAATATTTTTTACTCGACTCAGGGCCACCACCATATGTCGTGTTTTGTAATCATCTGTTGTCTCAGAGTTTTGGATTTCCTTTCTGAAGTCTTTGTACAGAGCTAGTAGCATGTATCTAGCTAGCAGCTAGATAGATACATGCTAACTCACTGACCCTGTCTTTACACCACTCACCCAAACAGATCTTGTTGTTGACTGTAGGTCGTCTGAGACAATCTAACTTTACCATATATGGTATGTTAATGAAATGGAAAATGGTTTAAAAAAAAAAAAGGACTAAAGAAAAACACAGGCTCCTCTTCACCGTAGAGAAACTCCCAGCCTCTCACTGTACACTAACTCCTCACTCAGCTCTACACCATGATTTAATTAAATTTACTACCAAACAGTTTGATGACGGGAGATGAAAGGACGGGAGAGTGTGGCTGATGTGCTGTGGTGTCCCTCAGAGAAGGAGTGAGAACCTTCTCCTCAGAGTGATTCATACTGACTGGTGTCGGAGGAGTGGGGGGGCACCCAGCCGCCTCTTGTGGCTGCTGCTGCTGCTGCTGCTGCTGCTGCTGCTGCTGCGACATCTGACCTACACCCTATTAGTTTTATGGAGCCTTTTCTACTCGTTCACTCCCCTGAAAGTTCATCAGAAGATGGAGGAGTTGAAGCCCCCGAGAGAGAGAAAAATCACCCTGGTCTTCAAAAACCTGTCACCTCTAAAGATGAAACAGATATGAACCTGTGGAGGTGAAGGGTCGTCTCTATCAGAGTCTCATATTTATAACTCACGCTTTAGTTTCAGTAATCCACAGCTGAGAGATTGAAAACCAGCATTGAACTCTCAATCAAACCAACTCATCTTCAAAACAGCTGAATGAATAAGTCATTTGTCCAAAAGGAGGGCAGCCGGTAAACAAGGAGGAAGAGGAACAAAAGGAGGAGATAATGGTGGCGGTGGATAAGGACAAGGAGATGGGAGAGGATTAGTGAAGGACGGAGAGGAGAAGAAATGACAAGGAGAGACACCAGGGGGAAGGGGAAAAGAGAGAGAAAGTTCTGGAAGAAAACAAGAATGAAGAACCGGGTGAGGAGGATGGATGAGAGGAGGAGGAGGAAAACAGGAGAAACTACGAGAAGATTAAAGTTGAGGAAAAGTCAAATAACATTTTCTTCATCTTTCGTCTCCGTCACTTCCTTCATCACCTCTGCTGCTCTCTCTCATCTCAAACACACACACACAGTCTTCCTCTCATTTCCCTCGCTCCACTCTCTCATTTTTTCTCCATCATATTCCTGCACCATCTATCTTCACACCCACCAAATGATCCCCCACTTCCTGCTCCAGCAGACGCTCACTTCCTGCTGCTTTCACACTCATAAACAAATCTGCAGTGCATCAAAATGTAACCTCAAAGGTCTGTCGGAATTCGTGAGTAGGAAGTTGAACATGTGAATTTCTTCTGCAAACATCAACAGGAAGTCCAAGACGCACGGGACAGAGAGGCTAAGTTAGCCAAGTGTTTTTTAATTAACACATTGGTTTGATGTTTTATTACTCTTTTCATGCCTAATTTTAATCTTCTACTGGACAAAACGTTAACTTTTTGCTAATGTTGTGCAAAATCTTTATTAATATTTTTGTCAAATTCCTTGTTTATTTGACATTTCTTAACTAATAACTTTTTCTTGCCCCACATTCAGTTCCAGTTTTAGTTAACGATAAAGTAATTACAACTAGTTATGGCTAGCTAAAGAAAAACAGCTAGATTTTAGCTAATTACAGGCTAATTTTTTTATGCTTAGTAGGAATGATTTTTTTAGTAGTAGCATGTCATTTTGGGTACTTAACCCAATCCTAACCCTGGTTTAAACTGTTTTTATTTTTGACAGTCGATATTTAGAAAGTGTGAAGCTGTTGTTCTTGTCGGTGGCTAACCTTTAGCTAAACCTAAATGTTCCTGTTTGACTGTGTTTACATTTTGTCATCAGTTATATAATTAAGCTAATCCTTAAAGGAAAATCTTTAGTCGTTGTTGCCATTTAAGTTACTACATTCCACTAATTCCTAGTTTCATGAATGGCGACTTTTTACTACCATTTGTCCCGCACCTCCCCCGCCTCCTCATTACCCCTCTCCCCTTCACCTCTGATTAATCAACCAATACCCCCCCTCCGGTCCTCACCGTGCACTCCATCTCCTCCGGCTCAGGCTTGATCTGTACAGAGGGCATCTCGTTCTCCTCCTCCTCCTCCTCCCGATGTCTCCTCCTCCTCCTCCTCCTCCTCCCGATGCTCCTCCTTCTTCTCCTCTTCCTTTCCTTTAGCCTCCTTCTCTTTCTTCTTCCTCTTCTTGCCTGACTTTATATCCACTTTCAGTTTCGGCTGTTCCCCCTCTTCACCTGTGTTCTCCTGCTCCTCTCCACCAGGTACGGTTAGCGGTGATGTTGGCGGCGACTTGGGCCTGGTCACCGGCTCCTCCTCCTTCTCCTTGGAAGCAGGTGTGGGAGGTGATGGTGAAGGTGGTGGAGGTTGTTGTTCCCGCTGTTGTTCTTGTTGCTGCTTCTGCTGTTTTCGGGTCAGGACACTCTTCTTGGCCGGGCTCCGCTGCTTCTTCTGGGTACCGCCGGCATTCTTCTTCTGCTTAGAATTCAGCTGGCACTGAGGAACAGGACGAGAAAAATAAAGAAGGAGTGAGAAGACTGAAGAAGAGGGGCTGAGGAAGAAGGGGAGGAAGTGAAGGTAGGAGGAGAGGAGAGGTTATAAGTTTAGAAGGGGGACAGAGGGGGGATGGGGTAAACTGGTGGTGAGAAGAAGGTATGAGAAGAACTTAAGACATCAGGAGGAGGAACAAAATCCAGGGTTGGAAGGTGGAAAGAAAAGGGGGACGAGGAAGTTGTGGAGGAAGACAGGTTAAGACAGGAAGTAAGACAGGAAATAGAACTGAAAGTCCACAGATAACATTTACCTGCTAAAAAAACCCCTCTCTGCCACAAGGGGGAGAGGGGAGTTGAACATGAGCAGTAGGTTTGTCTGTTTTTCACTAAAATGAGACAAAAAGAAGAGAGAGGAGTAAAAACACAGAGAGAGAGAGAGAGAGAGAGACAAAGGCCTGAACACTGAGGCTGCCACTGAGGGAATGAGAGCGAAAGAGAAATAACAGAGGGAGAAACAGAGACGGAGCAGGGAGGAGTAGCCCTGAAGTGACACCTCCCTCCCTTTCAGCGGCAGGCAGGCGGACACACCCTTTTCTGGAAGGCCGGCAACAACACACACACACACAGAGAGAGAGAGAGAGAGAGAGAGAGAGAGGGAGTGCCATGGCTAAAGGAAGAACTCCAAACACACACTTAACAGCCAGAAACACACACACAATGACACACACACACACCTTCTTCTTCACTTCCTTCTCTGAATTTTCTAAAAAAGTTACATCACACTAAACCACAAAAAGTACTTTCTAGAAATAAATAGGAAATCTTTGACTCCAGTGACACCAGAGCTCCGCATTTTATCACACAGGATTTGACCTAAATTTTTCACAAAACGGAGAAAGTTCAAGACTTTTTATGACTAATATCTATGGACTTCTAAGTAAAACTTTTAGTCAAATTATTTTCTTATAACATTTTATTTTTGTTTGTAAATAATGCTGTATTTAAAGGGAACAAACCAAAAGCTCATTCTCACAACTTTAACTGCAGAAGACACAGCTATTTTCTTTCTAAAGAAAACATCTGGGGCACGGCCCCCGTTAGGCCTCTCTCTCTCTCTCTCTCTCTCTCTCTCTGTTCAGCAGTGGTTCAGGGTAATGGGGCTCGACCACACCCATAACAGCTTACAGGAACGAGGCTAATAAAAAAAGACACATTTAAGTTTTGTTCCTCCAAATGTTCCAGAATTACTGTGGGGTAATTTATGTACTTTTATGTTTTATGCACTTATTCTTCTTCTAACTTTTAATGGCGTGTTGCAAATAAATTGTGTGCCTTATTTCTAATATATATATATATAT